CTGCAAGGGGGGGTGGGTGGGGGGCCGGGGGCTCTCACCGTCACAGCCCAGACCCTGGCGGCCTAGGCCCAGCATCAGCGAGGTGCAGCGGAGACACTTGGTGGGGGACTGGAAGCTTCGGGGACGCAGCATGTGTGAGCCAGGCTGGGGAGGAGGACACGCCATTACCTATGCCTGCCCCAGGCCTCCCGGCGACCCGCGCCCCACCCTAGACATATCTACTAGCCACGAGGCACCAGCCAGGTCCACGGAGCCCCGCAGAATGTCCTGGTGCCCCCACCCCACTTGCTCCTTTGGGTGCTGACCTTAGCAGGGCTTTCCACAGGGGCTGAGGTGGCAGCAGGTGCTCTGGGGAACACAGCCTGCAGGAGGGCGAGTGGACAGGTGAGAAGGGGGGTGGGGCCCAGCCCCCCAACCAGGGACCCACCTGTCCTCACCCCCATGCGCAGACTGCGTCGGCCTTCTGGCCGCAGCTCTGGTTCCGCCCCAGGCCTTGGGACCTCTCCTGAGACGCCGGGGTCCTTGGCAGAATCCTTCTGGGGATGGGAGAGGGAGGGACAAGATCAAGGCCCCCGTGTCTCTCCCTGGGACTCCCCCCCCGGCCAGCCTCTCCATCCCCTTCTTACCTCTGAGCTCCGGAAGGACAGGAAGGGAATCAGGGAGTTTGAGGACTTGCTGTCTGCAAACGGAGGGCATGGGTCACTGGAGGGGGGGTCCCGGGTTTTCCTCTCAGTAAAATGGGGAGATGAGTACAGGCTGGGAGTGGAACGGGTACACAGCAGGTGCTGGTCACAGGGCGTGGGGTAAGCGGCCGAGTCCAGAAACAGACTCCCGTCTCCGCAGGCCTGCCAGGCTGGCGTGGGGCCCTCGGGAGCCACGAGGCCGCAGGGGGCCCGACCCCAGGATGGGCAGGCAGCGGCCACTCACCCCCTGGCCCACGGGCCTGCAGCTCCTGGCGCAGCCCAGCCAGCTCCTGTTGCAGGGCCTGGCTCTGCTTCTCAGCCTCCTGCAGACGGCTGGCGGGGGAAACAAGGGCTTGATGCCGGCCTCTGTGCGGGCCGCGGCCCCCGAGCGGGACCCGGCCCCCGGGCGCCCGCCCCTGGCCTCACCGCTCTGCCAGCCGCTGGGCCTCCTGAGCCTGAGTCAGCCGCTCCTGCAGGCCCTGCTTGGCGCGGATCTCGGCCTCCAGAGCCGACTGCAGCTCCAGCCTGGCCGACGCCTCCATCTTCTGCAGCCGCCGCGCCTTCCACTGGTGGTCCTGGGGGCCAAGGGCACCCCCGTGAGACGCCCTCAGGGGCCCCCTCCACCACAGCACGCCACTGTGACCACGGCGTGGCCACGGACTGGCTCTGAGCTCAGGCAAGTCACCGGCCTTCCGTGAGCTCGGCATCCCCATCGCGGCGGAGGCCACTGACACCCCCAAGGGCAGCTCGGGGCCTCACCAGCGGCCGGGCAGGGAGCGTCTGGGTGCCCACATTCCTCAAGGACTCCAGCTCCTCGGCCATCTTGGTGGCCAAGGCCTGCAGGTACCCTCTCGAAACCTTCTCATCGTTCACCCTGACAAGGAAGAGGCTCGGGGTCACGGCTGGGCCATCCGCCGCACCTGGGCCTGCCCGGCGCGGGCACCCACCAGCTGAGGATGTCGGCGATCTGGGCCTCCCAGTTGCTCTCGGTCTCCCGCCGCTCGCCCTCCAGCCGCTGCTTGTTCTGGTGCTCCTGCACCAGCTCCTCCACCAGCTGGGGACGGGGGAAGGCAGGTCACCCGAGCCCCAGCAGCCCTGGCCTCTGCTGCTTCCCCAGAGGCCCCCCCAGCACCCTGGGCCCCACCTGTGTCCAACCCTCCTCACCCACTACAGCTTGCTGGTCCGCCGGGACCCTGGCACTCTGCCCACTTGCCGGCCGGCCGCCCGACTCCCGTCCCTTGTCCGTCTGTCCTGCCCTCCGCCCGCCCCACTCACCCTCTCCTGCTCCAGGCTCAGCCGTCGGTTCTCTTCCTCCAGCCGACACAGAGCTTCCTCCTTCCCGCTCGGCCTGGCGGGGAGAAGGCCCAGGCGTGAGTCCCAGCCCCCACCACCCGGCCCGCCCCACGCCCCCACCCGGCCGGCCGCTCACCCGTGGCTGCGGGCTCTCTCCAACTGCTCACGCAGTGCAGCCACCTCCTTCCTCAGCAGCGTCTCCTGAGGCCCACCCTCGGGGGGTCCCGTGCCGTTGGTCTCAGAGGCTGCGTGGACGGTCTTGAGAACACAGAGAGGGGTCGGGGCAGGGGTCTGAGAGGCCATGGCCCCCTCCAACCCTGGGGCGCAGGCCTGGCCGAGGTCCCGAGGGGGCTCAGGCCTGGGGGAAGCGCCTCTTGCCAACGGGATGAGACCTTACTACCTTGGTCCGGGAAAATGCCTCATCAAGGCTTCGTTTCTGCTGTTCCTGCAGCCGTGTCACCTCCCGGCTCAGGGTGGCCACCTGGGCCTCCAGCTGTGAGGGTCAGAGGCAGGCCAGAGCTGATTCTGCCCACCCCGCCCACCCGCCCGCCCCACCTGGCCACACACTCCAGCTCTGCCAGCCACAGCGGGTGTGAGGCGGCTCCCAGACCACCCCATACCAGCCAGCGGCCCCTGGCGCAGCCCCTGCCAGCCACAGCAGGGGGGCAGTGTCCCGTACCAAGCTCCCCACGCCTCCTCCAGCCACACTGGGCGGTGGGTGTAGGGACAGGGCCCAGGGGCTTCCCCTACCCGCCCTAGCCGCTTACCTCCCTCCGGGCAGCTCTGGCTCCTTCCAGCTGGGAGCTCAGGGCCTGAACCAGGCTGGCTGTGGCCGCCTGTCTCTCGTGGGCTTCCTGCAGCCTCTGAAGCAGCTCTCCCTGCTGCCCCTGGGCTCGGCCCAGCTCCTGGGGAGTCAGTGTGGGGTCCGGAGGACCAGGCTGAGAGTCAGGGCACGCACCTTGCAAGTGTGCAGCCCAGGGCCACTTCACTGCCTCTCGGAGCCTCACCTGCTGAAGCCGGTCTCTCTCCTGCAGGAGGTCACTGTCCTGACCTGGGCTGCCAGCAGGGGTCCCATCCGTTTGACACGAAGGGGCCTTGTCCCTCAGCGTCTCTGCCAGAAACAGTCACTGAGACCCATGCAGGCTGACAGCCCCAGCCTCAGCTGGGTTGCCCCGTGCAGGATCTCACAGGACCTTCACTGCAGCCCTGGAGGGGAATCCCCTTGGCCTGGTTTCCATATGCAGGCTCAGAGAATTTTGTTTTCTTGAGTTGGAGTCTCACTCTGTTGCCCAGACCGGAGGGCAGTGGCATGCTCCCAGTCACTGCAGCCTTGACTTGCCGGGCTCTGGCGATCCTTCCGCCTCAGCCTTCCAAGTAGCCAGAACTACAGGCGCATGCCACCACATCCAGCTAATTTTTTATTTTACTGTAGAGACGAGGTCTGGCCAAGTTGCCCAGGCTGGTCTCGAACTCCTGAGCTCAAGCAATCCTCTTGCCTCAGCCTCCCCAAGTGCTGAGATTGTAGGCTTGAGTCACCGCGCCCAGGCCAGGCTCAGAGAATTTATGATACTTCCCCAAGATCACACAGCAGCAAGGCAAGATGGGAACCCAGGTAAGTCTCCCAGGTGGGGATGGGGGGAAGGAATACCTGCCAGCCTCTCTCGGAGGGTCTGCACTTCCTTCCGAAGCTGTTCCAGCTCCCGGTGGTCTGGGTGGACGTGTGGGGCCTCTGGCACAGGTGGCAAGACCGGCAGGTGAGACGCTGCTCCCATGGCAGCAGCCCCAGGGCCAGCACACCCACCCACCCAGCCCTGGCCCAGCTAGTCCCTATACCTTGGCGCTTCCGGCCCAGCTCTGCTTTCTCCTGCTCCAAACAGCGTAATTTCCGCTCCAGTGCAGCCAAGGCCTCAGAGCCACTCTCAGGACTGTGGCTGGGGGAGGGCAGGGCCACAGGCGTTGGCAGAAGCCCCCTTCCCAAAGCTGCCTCCATGCTCCTGCATCCAGTCCCTCATTCACCCAAGAAACACCCAAGCCAGGACCTGCCCTTGCGAGACCCCAGGCTGGTGCCACGGGTGGCAGCCCAGGGCAGTGGTTCCAGGGTCCAGGCTCCAGGGTCCTCAGGCCCAGATCCAAGCCCTCATCCTGGTCCTCACAAGCTGGGTCGCCTTGGGCTTTATCTATCTTAGCCTCAGCCTCCTTGTGGGAACACGGTGGTGACAGATAGGACTCTCCCAGGGCTGCCGAGTGTGGTGATGTGGGTCCAGCTGGCCCCTGCCTCAGAGCACACCCCACCAGGACCCCGTTGCAGACTCAGGGCAGCCCTTCGAAGGGGACCTGGTGGAGACCATCCTGCCCATTTTACAGAGGCATAAAGTGAGACACAGAAGCAGTCAGGCCCTTCAAACACTAGGTCTCCGGCCCCAAGTGCAGTGCATCCTCGGCCTGCCATGGAGGGTGCTGTAAGGGTTGTGAGCTAGAAGAGGGCCCAGGCACAGGCCTGGCTTCACCAGGACCCTGAGGACATGTGGGCTGCAGCACCCAACGTGTGCGGGGAACCATCCTGCGTCCTTCCCGGGGCCCTGTGGGCTACGCTCCCAGCGTCCTCCAGGCCAGGCAGCCCCCCAGTTTCCCACCAGGTGTGTGAGGACCAGACTCACCTGCCAGAGGTGTAGGTGAAGCCCACAAATGGCAGGTGGTGGCCCGAGAAGGCCCCATGGGAGGGTGGCGGCACAGTCCCCTGCAGGAGACGGAAGGAAAGGCAGAGTCGACGGGCAAGCTCCAGGCTGAGGCCCCAGGAGACCCCCTGGAATCCCTGCCGCTTCCTGCTCAGATGGGAACCTAGGGTGATAACCCTAGGTTATCCACCCACCAAACAGACCACACCTCCCACAGGTCCTTGGGGTTATTGTCTCCCAGGGTCTTCTGGGAGTTTCCTTCCTTATATGAATTCTGGTTTTATCTTTTGAGTCAGAGTCTGTCGCCCAGGCTGGAGTACAGTGGCACGCTCATGGCCACCACAGCCTCGACCTTTGGGCTCAGGTGATCCTTCTGCCTCAGCCTTCCACATAGCTGGAACCAGAGGAGCATGCCTCCACGGCTGGCTAATTCTTTGATTTATTGTAGAGACAAGGTCTCGCCAAGTTGCCCAGGTTAGTCTCAAACCCGTGGGCAATCCCCTCACCTCGGCCTCCCAAAGTGCTGGGATGACAGGTGTGAGCCCCTGCGCCCGGCACTGAATTCTGGTCAATAGGCCGACACCTGGGCCAAAAGGACTTCCCTTGACACAACCCACATCAGCACGGGTGAACCAGCCCAGGTGAACCGCAGCTCTCATGAGCCACTGGGGTTGAAGGTCTCACCCCCGGCCCAAGTCGAGTGAGTTTTTTGTGTGGGGAGGGTCCTACGGCCAGCGAGGGTGAGGGCAGCCACCCCTCAAAGGAGCTTCTGCCACTCACTGGATGGTTGAGGGTGTTGTCATCCACATCGAAGTTGGAGGTGTCCACGGGTCCGCGAAGCTCAGGGACGTAGGGGGCCGTACTAGTCGCCAGCCTCTCCCAGTCCACGCCTTCAAAGAAGGGATGGTTCCGGAAGTCGTCCAGCCCTCCACGGCCCAGCCGTTCCTCCTGGCGACACAGCAGCTGTCGGATCAGGTCTCGGGCACTGGCCGGTACATCAGGCGCATCCGGGGGGAACTGCAGATGGTCCTGCAGGCAGGGGGCGCAGGGACGGGGTCAGGCGGGGCTGACCATCCAGGAGCCTGGACTGGCCCAAAGGGATATCCCACCTCACAGACTCAGAGGCCCGCTGCCGCCCCAGGACCTAGAGCCTGGCGGCCAGACCTCATGGTTCATAATCTTGCTGTAGGTTTCCACCAGGGACTCGGCATAGAAGGGCGTCTCCCCGAAGAGCAGCTCGTAGGCGCAGACTCCCAGCGACCACCAGTCGCACTGTGGGCCGTAGTGGCCTTTGCCCTCCTCCATGGCCTGCAAGATCTCAGGGGAGATATAGTCTGGCGTCCCAACTGCCACGGACGAGTCCACCTGGCGGGGGGTGGGATTGATGGTGGGTGAGGACAGCTTTGGGTCTCGGGCCCTCACCACAGCCGTGGCACCTCCAAGTCCACCAGGGCTTTGCTGGCCTGGTGCTCTCCCCACTGAGGATCTGGGCCTTGCCCTCCCTTGCCCTGGGAGCCTGACACCCCTGCACGAGGCCGAAGTCCTCTTGCTGCCCCGAGGGAATGGCCCGCCTGGTGTCCCCTGTTCCCGCTCCAGGGCAGGCAGGGCACTTACCATGCCACTATTGTTCAGACGCAGGCAGGAGCCAAAGTCGGCCAGGCGGATGTGCCCGTTCATGTCCAGGAGGACATTGTCCGGCTTGACGTCCCTGGGGGAGGGCAGCGAGGGGGAGGGGCTCAACCCGTGTGTGTGGGTGTGTGCTTAGGCACACGTCCAGTGACACAGCGTGGGCACGCACGAGCACCACTCACACGTGTTCCCGTGTGCACACACAAGCAACATGTAGACATGCATGTGGCAGAGACAGGAAGCTGCGGGCCAGCATAAGGAAGATGCGATCAGAGAAAGGCCCACGAGGGTGACCTCGGAGGCGGCAAAGTCTGACGCAGGAGTCAGATTCCCCCATGCCACCACGACTCGGCCACCCACGAGCTGAGTCACCGTGGGCCAGGTGAGCTCCCTGTGCTCTGGCCTCTTTGACCGTAAGGGAGACCGACAGCAGTGCCAGCCATGTCAGGCTTTTCAGTACGAGGATTCGAGGGAACCACACATGCAAAACCAGTGAAGGGTTAGGCACCCCGTGAGTGCTCAGCAAGCATCGGCTCTGCCCACACGGTCAGCAGGGCCCACCTGTGGACGTAGCCCAGCTGGTGCAGGGAGTGGATGGCCAGCACCATCTCTGCCAGGTAGAACTGGGCCAGCTCGGGCGGGAGGCGGTCCTCAAAGCGACTCAGCAGCGTGAGAAGATCCCCACCGGCGTAATAGTCCATCACCAGGTACTGGATGGCGGGGAGCGGGGAACAAGAGTCAGGCCTGGGGAGGCTGGCACTGGAGTGGAGGTTCACGCCTGTCATCCCAGCACTTTGGGAGGTCGATGCGAGAGGATTGCCTGAGCACAGGCGTTCGAGACTGGCCTGGGCAACATGGCAAGACCTCGTCTCTACAAAAACCAAAAAAATCAGCCAGATATAGGTGGTGTGTGCCTGTGGTCCCAGCTATTTGGGAGGCTGAGGTGGGAGGATCACCTGAGCCCAAGGGTTTGAGGCTGCAGTGAACCATGATTGTGTCACTGCACTGCAGCCTGGGTGACAGAGCAAGACCCCAACTCAAAAAAAAAAGGCCAGGCGTGTTGGCTCACGCCTATAATCCCAGCACTTTGGGAGGCGGAGGCGAGGGGATTGCCTGAGCGCAGGCATTCAAGACCAGCCTGGGCAACATAGCGAGACCTCGTCTCTACAAAAGTCAAAAAAATTAGCCAGGTGTGATGGTGCATGCCTGTGGTCCCAGCGGCTTGGGAGGCTGAGGCGGGAGGATCACTTGAGCCCAGCCGGTCGAGGCTGCGGTGGCCGTGAGCATGCTACTGCACTCCACCTGGGTGACAGAGTGAGACTCCAACTCAGGAAAAAAAAAAGGATCCAGATGAAGGAGGCGCCAGTCCACCTCACTTTGGTCCCGCGGGACTCTGGAAAGGCAGGCCTGTTTCCCCCTGCAGCTCTGGGTGCCAGCTCCCAGCCAGAACTCAGGTAGGAGACTTCGGGCCCGGAGCTGGCGGGAAGTGGAAGCCTTGTGATCTCAGCGGGAGGGGTCTCCCCCGGGACTCAGTGTCCCTGGCCCCAATGACCTCTCGGTCCCTCGGCCACCACTCCCTCCAGCCCTGCCGGGCATTCTCACCAGATACTCCTCGTCTTGGAAAGCATAGTGCAGAGCGGTCACCCACTGGCTGTCCCCTTTCACCAGGACGTCACGCTCCTCCCGGAAACAGGCTGTCTGCAGCAGGGAGTCAGGGGTGGGACGAGATCAGGGCCCCAGAAGCCCCCTTGGCCGCTCCGGGGGTAGAGAAAGATTAGTAAGTCTGGAAGCTCAGATCAAGGTCACAGCTCTGCTCTCCCAGGCTGGCTTTGGTTGAGCCCCAGTCCGTGCTCTGTGGCTCTGGGCCTCGGCGTTACCATCAGGAAAATGGGAGGGACTGTGTTTTTGCCTTTTTGCTTTTAACTCTGCTGCTGAGGAAGACCGGATCGGTGGCCGTGGGGGCGGCATCCGTCACCCGGTCAGCAGCCAAGCCCCTCCTCCCCCGGGATGCCCTCTGGGCCTCATTGGCAGCACACCCCTCCCCTCACATGCCTGCAGGCTGCCAAAGGCCCCCCCGGGCCCCCCCAGACTGACCTCAGCCCTCTTCAGCATCTCCCACTTGTGCAGCATTTTCATGGCGAAGATCTGTCCACTGTCCCTCTGCCTCACCACGGCGACCTGAGGCCACAGGCAGGACTGCGTTCAGCCCAGCCCGGTGCAAACGCTGCCCTTCCCTGCCCACCACGGGCCCTTTGCTCACCTCCCCGAAGGCCCCTCGGCCGATCACCTTCAAGATCTCAAAGTCATCTCTCTGCAGACGCAGTTCCTTCACCTTGGACACGAAGGGGCTGGCTGAGGGGACATGGTGAGGAGGGGTGGAGTCAGAGTGCGTGCAGGGAGGGGCCCAGCTCCCCCATCACCTTGGAAGGCAGGGGCTGCATCTCCTATGGGACCAGGGCAGGATGGCCACCCCAGGGACAGGAACTGGAGCTCATTCGGCCACGATCAGGAAGTATGGAAGATGGGGGTGCTGGCTTGGCCGGTCCCTTGGCCCCCAGACCTCCCCGGACCCCTGTCCTCAGACTCCAGGTAGCCTCCGCCCCGGGGGCTGATGGGACTTGTAGTCCTGCCCAGCCTGGGGCCTGACCCTGGCTGGCCAGGTCACCCTGAGGACGAGGACTGACCGTGGGGATACCAATGCTACCCCCAGCTCACAGTTCTCGGCCTGTCTTGGGAAACTGGACAAACAACATTCCTTGTCCCCAGAGAGGCTTCTCTGCCATCCAGGAGCTGTGGGCCCTGGTCAGGGAACCCTGTAGGCACAGAGCCTGGGGTCGCCCCAAAAGACAACAGTGCTGCAGGGCTCTGGGAAGACAGGCTCTGTGGTTCCCACGCGGGACCTCCTTGGGCTGGAGGCACAGTCACCCGTCTGCCTGGGGGCTCACAAGACTCAAAAACGGGCCAAACACCTCTGCCTGGCGCCGGCGCCTGCGGGTGTGAGCACTCGGGATCCCTCCAGGCCTGGCCAGCCCTTGAACTCTGGGCCCTGCCTCCCTCTCGGGACGAGGCCTTTGCCTGGCCAAGAGCCTCCTTCTTTCTCACAGTCCCAGACGCCTCTGAGGGGGGCATTTCCAGCCACTCCCAGCCCTTTCCAGGCCTGGAACGGCCACAGGCTGGGGGCAAGGAACCAGGTCTTGGGAACTCAGGGAGGCGGGAGTGGCCCGTCAGGAGGGAGGGCAACTGTGGTCTGGCGCCCTGCCTCAGTTTCCCCCGCCAGGAGGTAAACTCCCTGCCAGCTGGGCGGGTCTGTGGGTGGGATAAAGAGCTGCTCCACTGGTTTATCAGGCAGAAGCCCGCAGCGGGGGTGGTGTGGAAACCTCATTACAGAAATCGTCCTTCCCAGGTCTGTGCACGGAGCTCAGGAGAAGTCACAGGCCTCTGAGGGGGGACGGAGGCCAGAGCGGCGACCCACCAGCCAGACAGGGGTGCACGCCGGGCCCACAGGCAGGAAGGGCCAGGCCCCCAGGACAAGCTGCCCAGTCTCCTCGCCTCGCGACAGGGAATGGGGGCTCTGGGCAGGAGCAGGGACAAGTCGGGACAGGAGAGGAATGAGTCACCGCCCTCTGAGTTACCTTGGGAGATGTCAACAGATGGGCCCCCACGCTGGGGTCCCGGGCAGAGATGCCAGAGGCAGGAAGGGAGGAGCACACATGTGTGTGCAAACACACACACGTGTGCATGGGTGTCACGGGGGGGCAAGTGATGACAACACGGACACACACGCATGACACGCAGGAGCTCTGGGGACACGGGCAGGCAATCGAGGCAGGGCCCTTGGACTGCCCTCGCCCTGGACAGAAGGGCTGGGGCCAGGGCCAACTTGCCGGCACTCCTGGGTGGCAGGTCCCCAGCCGTGCCAGGCCAGGCCTCATGCCTGCCCAGAGCTCAGGAGCGCCAGGAACGCCTGTCGCCCACTGGGTAAACATCCGCCTCACCCCACCCTCCAGGCCAGCCACTGTGCCTCCCCCGTGGCCCAGCTGGGTGTGACCAGGGACCCTTCCAGTGCCCTCAGTGGGTTCAGGGTCACCCTGGGCCAGCCACTCCCGGTGACGCAGATGAGTCAGCCGGGAAAGGGTGCAGGCCCACCTCCAGCCAGGTCCCCGTCCCAGGCCCTGGGGGACTAGCCCTTGGGAGCCTGGCCAGCAGCTTGCACAGACCAGGACGCTGAGGCTGGTTCTGGAGACCTGGCTGTGGCGGTCTTGAGTGCAGGGAGAGGGGTGCGTGTGTGTGGGAGGGGGAAAGGGGGTGTCTGCAAGCGTGCCATACCTAGGGATCTGAGTGTGTACAGAGCCAGTGAGGTCTGCAAGGTTCCCCGGCCCCTCTCTGAGCTGTGCATCCTTAGGGAATGAGGGACACAGAAGCCCGTGTGCCCTGCGTCGCATGCACGGGGGCCTGCGTGTGCGTTCTGCGTGGGGCACGAGGTGACCTGAGAGCCAGGAACCCCGCGGGACAGGCAGCGGGTACCGCGTCTGGGGGTCTACTCTCGGGCACGTGTGTGGCTGCGTGACTGCACCGCGTGCGCGAGTCCGAGCGAGGGC